GTGTAATTTGCTCCCAAAACATCATAGAATCATCCCATTGCTCAAGCTAACACTAGAAGAACAAGTAGATGAAACGGAATTAATTTTTAGGTAGACTATAACTTTGTTTTTACGGAATTCCTATTCGTCTACGCCTGTGAACTTATAACACACTATCTGAAAGCCGAAATTTCAGTGCGACTACTCATCATGCTGCACAGTATCTTCATCGTTTTGAAAACTAAACTGCTGAAATGTTATTACATCGGACTTTATTGCAAGAGATGTTTTGTAGAGCTAATACTTTTGGAATGTGCGTGGTTAATCTTCCCCACGTGCCTTGATAGCGAACCATTTGACACAACCAAATAATGCTACTCGAATGCAAACCTGCCATTTTACTGGCCATGTCAGTGATATGATTCTACCAAAATCATACATAGCTTGTGCTTTCTGAAGGTAACACGGTGTTTTCATTGACAAAGTTTATTTTAAGTCATATTGACCGGAATCCTGTAGGTTAACACGAATCCAAGTATCACGCATTTACGATGACAGCGTTTCGCCCTTGTGGATATGTTTGCATGCATCGGTGAGTCACACGTATCAAAAAATGAGGTTCTGTCTATGCACATTGTTGACACTACAGTGTATGATGTACCGTTAAAAAAAAAGCACATCTTCACCCATTTTTGGGTGACACCCGTCGATTTTAAAATCCGAAATGGCAAAAGTTAAGAAGAAACACCTTGCATTTCTTACTGTAAGTGTACGCCTAACCCTTTTAGGGAAGCGGTAACTAAATTTTAGTCGGTTTGAGACGTTTAAAGGCATCTTAGTTAAATTAATGGTTCCTTCTCATGATTCTATCTAAAGGAAAAAAAAAGTGAAATCCAGTAAGTAAATCAAATTCTTGGCAAGTGTGGAACATAAGTCATTTGAACTCATTTGATATTAGTATGTTTTTGTTAATAAATTTTTCATTGGCACACCTAGGACAATACAGTCTACAAAATGCACCAGCACCTTTCCAAGTTTTTGTCTGTTCTGGAACAGAGTTGTGCAATGCGTTTCATTCAGTGGGCTTATCAGCACAACCTCCATGGCACAGCATTCGGAGGTTCACAACCAAATTAGTCTGATTCCAAGACAGTAATCTTTGTAAATTTAAACAAATCCCTGAAGTACAGCCTTTGTAAAAGTTTAAAAAAAACAAGTGTTAATCACTAACTGGGAAGGTTAAACAGGTTTTAGTCCCTATCATGGTGACAGCTGCGTTAAGCGCAGCCTATACTAAAATTTGGTGCTTGTAAATCAACCATTTGTTGGATATTAATATGAGAATGCATTATGGGGTAAAATATAATTATGTAAAATGCGTTCCTAAAATGGCCAAAATCACCTTCATCGACTTTCATGTGTCTGATAGGTTGATGCTGTTGTTTTCAAACATTTATTTATTATCCTTGCCCAAATAAAGCATTTAATGAGACATTTTATTTAGTCAATAGAATAACTACGTTACCTTGTTTCTTCTAGAAGTACATAATATCATTATTAAAATAGCACTAGACTTGGCGTTACACGAAGAGAAAAAACCTGCACCCAAATTCAACCTAGGATGGTGTGATGATTCTTTGCAGCAAAATCTTTTGCATAATGCATCTAAATGAACGAGGAACTTGCAAACTAAGTCTAGAATCCATATTGAAGAAATGTTTACTTCTCCAAATATTCAAAATGTTTAAGTTCAAGCCTTTAATAATCTGCTTTAAGAAATTAAATGAAGTTCGTTTTGCAGCAGGCAAATAATCATTTGGAATCACGTTGGAAAAGCTTAAGTCATATAGATAGCCTTAAGTAACCATTATTCATTCCTTTCATCTGATTTCCATATTCTGATACCTATCAGCATTATTGGCCATACGCTCCACTTTCCAAAAGCTTTGAGAAGATTTTTTGACTCCGTCGCCACGTTGTCAAACTGATAAAACTTATTCTTCAATGGCTTTGAATCAGATAAATGGAAAAGTATGGTCAGTGAGAATAATGTTTTAGATAGTTTATTCATAAAATGAAAAGCCTATCATTTTGAATGTAAGATTATCAGCATCAGCAGTAGCGGTAACAGTAGCAGGGAGGAAAGTGAAGAGGCATGCGGACAAGCAGAAGGGGCTAATTTTGACTGAATGGGATCAATTGTGTTGGACAGTGACCACTTCGCTTCTGGAAACGCACCTTGATGAGACCACAGCCATCATAGCAAGGACGATAGAGATAGTGGAGGCAAAGACAGCCAGGAAGTAGCCCCACATATTACTCTTAACGGCTGTGTAGACAATGACCGCGATGAATGCCAACGCGGCACCCAAATAAATGAATGTGAAGCGTGCTGTGATGAGCCCTGTGTGTACGGATTTCTTGAAGAGCAGCACCACGTCAAGAAGGAATACGATGAAGATGAAAATCAGACCTATCACCAACATCGTGACGACTGTCAGCATGGCATCGCGATCCTCGATACCCTCCTCAGTGCAATGCCCGAAAAGATTTCCACAATGCCAGTCACTGAGGCAAAGAGCCGTTATAAGAGTGGCTACGCAGAGAGCGAGTAAAAAGGCTGTCAACTTGCGGATTATCATCGCGTTGGAATGAACGCTCGTGCCCCTGCCAGAACTTCATATAACAGCCTAAGTTGACCCAACGATTGGACCCTAATGACTGACCAATCCAGTTTCTATTTCGATTGGCCAATCCCTTATTAAATGATCATTTCTATTACAGCGCATATTAACAGTAAAGCCAATTGTTTAACATCATGATGCCACGTTATTCTTGAAATGCTTTATGATAATTTGGGACTTTTCCTTAGTTCGTGCCAAAATTTATAATACTGGAAGCCACGAACATTGTAGTTGCAATTTGGCAAACTAATCTAAATAGGACAAACTTCAAATACACCCTCAATAAATTAATATGTAAAACTAATATAACCTGCAATCAGTCGTTGGGTTGTTGTAATACTAAACAATGGTTTGTCGTGCGAACCAACGTTTTGAAATATTCATTAACATAATTACATGGAACTTGATGTTATTGCCACTGAACACATCTTCGTCGTCATGATTCCTAGGACATTCAGAGTTAACTAACGCTAAAGAGGATGGCTTTGAAGCCTTGAACCCCTGACCCGTAAAATCAAACTTTTGTAGTTCATGTAAAACTTGAGTCAAATATCCGTAAAATGGGTAGTACCACCGATTAAGGTAGTCCAGAGATGTTTGATTTGGCCGAACAGTGTATCAGTTGCCTGTAAAATGCACGATTTAAACTTAAAAATCTTATCACTGACTCCGTGACACTAAATAACAAAATTAATTTAATAACTGATCCTTTTATGCAGAAACTAGGAGTTATAGAGCATGTGAATAGGACAAACCACTAAATAATGGTTTGAATTATTAAAATCATGTGGTGGACATAAATACTTACCCAAAAACCACAGTCCCCTGTTTTTATATTTGTGAACTAGAGTTTCTATACCTTTGAGTGGATCTAAAATATCAACTTTAGCCTGTTGTGTCAATTTTAAGCCATATCAACATTTATCATCATGGAATTCTAGAGATTTGGAGTGAGTGAAATGAGACTCTCCAAATTTTACTCCTTCCACAAACTTATTCAAGGCTGGTACTAGCGTGGATACTTATTTTCTTCATAACAATTAAATGAATGAGTTCTGATCGTCGAGGCAAAATCGACGAGATTGGGCTGCAGTAAGACCATCTCACCCTCAACATGCTTCGTGTCCATTGTAGCGCTAAGCACAAATGACTCAACCTGACTATGAAGTCATGATGGTATTTTGAAATCAGGCATCGTCCATTTTGAAAGACCAAGCAGTGTAGATCTATTTATCAAACCTTTAAATTATTTTCAGCCTATTCTTAAATTCTGTCATAGGATCCCCATTATTGATGGTAAACATTTTGTATTTTTTTTTCTTAGCCATGCAATAATTTAAATATTAAATTGATTTGAATACTTTATTTACTTGTAATTCATTCAACAGTTTCACACTTAGCCATTTATTGTTAGTAGTAGTTGCTTGAAAAGTGCGAAACTACAAAATAAATAATCTCAGAAGAGATTAGAGGAATTCGCTCATTGAGTACCAAGTCACCTGAAAAGGGGGCGATAAACAAAAACTTTGGTGGTTGATCCATAATTTCGTACAATAGAGTATTCGGCGGTTGCTTAGGGAATAATTGTAAGTTTTTAGACAGGAATCGGTAGTCGGTCTCGGTCATATTTTATTCCGAGTATGACTGATCATAGAGGGGAAAATCTATTTTAGAAGTTTAGTTTTTATTGAAACAGGGCAGTAGCATTTTAGTTCCATGGTGTACCAGCTAATGCAAGAGAATTGGGAAGATTATAACGGCAAATGTTAAAACGTATGCGTACTACGATGAAGTATTTGCAAATCGGTAAGTCGTTAGTGGAATCTGAAATGTAAAAAACTGAATCGGGAACGGAATTTATGGGAACACTTCTTAAACTGACTCTAAAAATGACCAAACTGTGTGATTTTTCAACTTATGAAAGCCATTCACTTTGTAGTAAAATTTCAAACTAAAACTAGGGTTTCAATGGAAATATATTCAAGGTATGTTAAATACTACGTTGCCTCACCATCTTGTTTATTTACCAAAAACCGATTGCCATATTAGTCGCTGCGTACAATTTTATATTTCCAAGTGACATTCTGGCATTTTCAGCCGTCAAATCTAGGAAATACCTGTAGTTTTGTGATGTGCTTTTCAATTCATGATTTGGTAGTTGTGTAGCGTCCTGAGACTCCCTGAAGACGAAAGAAGACAAAATACTCGGGCAGAATATATATATTCAGCGCAGAGAAGGTGTCTGGGCTATTGGCATGGCCCAAAAGGCCAGCCCACACAGCGAGGAACAAAGAGGCTAACTCGAAGTACAAAAGTCGCGCCTCACCAGAACCGAGGGATAAACCACACGCCTGTGAACTTATAACACACTATCTGAAAGCCGAAATTTCAGTGCGACTACTCATCATGCTGCACAGTATCTTCATCGTTTTGAAAACTAAACTGCTGAAATGTTATTACATCGGACTTTATTGCAAGAGATGTTTTGTAGAGCTAATACTTTTGGAATGTGCGTGGTTAATCTTCCCCACGTGCCTTGATAGCGAACCATTTGACACAACCAAATAATGCTACTCGAATGCAAACCTGCCATTTTACTGGCCATGTCAGTGATATGATTCTACCAAAATCATACATAGCTTGTGCTTTCTGAAGGTAACACGGTGTTTTCATTGACAAAGTTTATTTTAAGTCATATTGACCGGAATCCTGTAGGTTAACACGAATCCAAGTATCACGCATTTACGATGACAGCGTTTCGCCCTTGTGGATATGTTTGCATGCATCGGTGAGTCACACGTATCAAAAAATGAGGTTCTGTCTATGCACATTGTTGACACTACAGTGTATGATGTACCGTTAAAAAAAAAGCACATCTTCACCCATTTTTGGGTGACACCCGTCGATTTTAAAATCCGAAATGGCAAAAGTTAAGAAGAAACACCTTGCATTTCTTACTGTAAGTGTACGCCTAACCCTTTTAGGGAAGCGGTAACTAAATTTTAGTCGGTTTGAGACGTTTAAAGGCATCTTAGTTAAATTAATGGTTCCTTCTCATGATTCTATCTAAAGGAAAAAAAAAGTGAAATCCAGTAAGTAAATCAAATTCTTGGCAAGTGTGGAACATAAGTCATTTGAACTCATTTGATATTAGTATGTTTTTGTTAATAAATTTTTCATTGGCACACCTAGGACAATACAGTCTACAAAATGCACCAGCACCTTTCCAAGTTTTTGTCTGTTCTGGAACAGAGTTGTGCAATGCGTTTCATTCAGTGGGCTTATCAGCACAACCTCCATGGCACAGCATTCGGAGGTTCACAACCAAATTAGTCTGATTCCAAGACAGTAATCTTTGTAAATTTAAACAAATCCCTGAAGTACAGCCTTTGTAAAAGTTTAAAAAAAACAAGTGTTAATCACTAACTGGGAAGGTTAAACAGGTTTTAGTCCCTATCATGGTGACAGCTGCGTTAAGCGCAGCCTATACTAAAATTTGGTGCTTGTAAATCAACCATTTGTTGGATATTAATATGAGAATGCATTATGGGGTAAAATATAATTATGTAAAATGCGTTCCTAAAATGGCCAAAATCACCTTCATCGACTTTCATGTGTCTGATAGGTTGATGCTGTTGTTTTCAAACATTTATTTATTATCCTTGCCCAAATAAAGCATTTAATGAGACATTTTATTTAGTCAATAGAATAACTACGTTACCTTGTTTCTTCTAGAAGTACATAATATCATTATTAAAATAGCACTAGACTTGGCGTTACACGAAGAGAAAAAACCTGCACCCAAATTCAACCTAGGATGGTGTGATGATTCTTTGCAGCAAAATCTTTTGCATAATGCATCTAAATGAACGAGGAACTTGCAAACTAAGTCTAGAATCCATATTGAAGAAATGTTTACTTCTCCAAATATTCAAAATGTTTAAGTTCAAGCCTTTAATAATCTGCTTTAAGAAATTAAATGAAGTTCGTTTTGCAGCAGGCAAATAATCATTTGGAATCACGTTGGAAAAGCTTAAGTCATATAGATAGCCTTAAGTAACCATTATTCATTCCTTTCATCTGATTTCCATATTCTGATACCTATCAGCATTATTGGCCATACGCTCCACTTTCCAAAAGCTTTGAGAAGATTTTTTGACTCCGTCGCCACGTTGTCAAACTGATAAAACTTATTCTTCAATGGCTTTGAATCAGATAAATGGAAAAGTATGGTCAGTGAGAATAATGTTTTAGATAGTTTATTCATAAAATGAAAAGCCTATCATTTTGAATGTAAGATTATCAGCATCAGCAGTAGCGGTAACAGTAGCAGGGAGGAAAGTGAAGAGGCATGCGGACAAGCAGAAGGGGCTAATTTTGACTGAATGGGATCAATTGTGTTGGACAGTGACCACTTCGCTTCTGGAAACGCACCTTGATGAGACCACAGCCATCATAGCAAGGACGATAGAGATAGTGGAGGCAAAGACAGCCAGGAAGTAGCCCCACATATTACTCTTAACGGCTGTGTAGACAATGACCGCGATGAATGCCAACGCGGCACCCAAATAAATGAATGTGAAGCGTGCTGTGATGAGCCCTGTGTGTACGGATTTCTTGAAGAGCAGCACCACGTCAAGAAGGAATACGATGAAGATGAAAATCAGACCTATCACCAACATCGTGACGACTGTCAGCATGGCATCGCGATCCTCGATACCCTCCTCAGTGCAATGCCCGAAAAGATTTCCACAATGCCAGTCACTGAGGCAAAGAGCCGTTATAAGAGTGGCTACGCAGAGAGCGAGTAAAAAGGCTGTCAACTTGCGGATTATCATCGCGTTGGAATGAACGCTCGTGCCCCTGCCAGAACTTCATATAACAGCCTAAGTTGACCCAACGATTGGACCCTAATGACTGACCAATCCAGTTTCTATTTCGATTGGCCAATCCCTTAT